ATAGACAAAAATAATAATTGTATTTTAGCTCTTATTTGCCTGAATTTATATTATATAATATTAATTTGTTTATTGAAAGCTCTTTTTATTATTATTGTTTATTAAACATATTTTGAACATAACTGTGTTACTTGGGCTCTCTTGAACATGTAAAGCTGATTTTTCCCGAGTTACAGTAAAGAATCATTTTTATACGATTAATTCTGTACAATTAATACATTTTTACTTTAATGTTCATCCAGCACGATCGGAGTCTCTAAGTTCTTTTTCTTTGTAAAATCATAGTTAATCGGCCTATTTTTAATGTATAAAAGGTGATGATCGTCGAGGACCCGCCACGAAGCTGCTTGTGTTCTGCCGCTGCTGCGACACAAATCCGCGATCTGCTATATCATATTAATGTTTCTTCCATTTCTTTCACGCAGATACAAACAGCCGAAGGAGTATCCGCAAGAATTACCAAAGAGCCCAATTCGGCCGCCTTCGGTCGAGGAGTACAGGTCAACGCCAACTCCGGAATATACCCTTCGCAGTACGATCATTATGCCGCACGAACACCTCGACGAGATTCGCGAGGAAAGAGTTCATTTGTCGCAGGTATTAAATTATTTTTTACTATTTTTATCAACAAAAAGACTTATATATAAAAAGATTAAATTAAAAATTTAAATATAAAGAGACTAAATAATTGAAAATAATTAAATATATAAATAAATTATATATTAGAAATAAAAGAAATAAGTTACGTCGAAATTCTCAATCTGATCTTACAAAGAATTGGTTTGTAGAAATAAATGTTTGTAGAAAGAATTTCCTTTGTTAGAAATAAATTAAATTTATTAAATCGATAAAAGGATTTTGCGTTTTTGAGTAAAATCTTGATTGTATAATTTAAAGCCAGCCGCTTAACTACTGTTGGATTTGTTTAGATCCAACGATAAAATCGGTATAATGGTTCTTCTTAAGAATTCTAAGGAATCTGGGACGAAAGTGCGTTTAGTCTTTGAAAATCGAACTTTCAAGCATGTGTTGGCAATACAAATTCGCTGGAGAGTTCATTGATCCGCGCGAAGGAATAGTCGGCTTTGTTTTAGTGTATAAATCAAGATCCGACATCGTATTTACTTCTTTCCCAGATTAAAATAGCCTACATTAGTAAAACAGCATGATCATATCGTTGAAAAATATCTCTCTTCCAATCTTAATGTTATCTTAATGCGTTAATTTTAATATAATCTAAACACGCAGAGAAATTATGCATATATAAATAATAAGACGTACTAAGATGTATTTTAAAACGTAATAATATTTAGAAAAAAAAAGTTTTATTATATCGAAATTTATTATTTAATTATAATTGAAGAAAGAAAGAAATGCGCGTTGTTAAGTAGAATTAATCGATATCAGCAGACGCTATAATTCGGCAAAACGTAATTGACAGCTTCGAAATTATGCAAGCGCGCGAAAGCTAAAAATAGATATGAAATACAGATCTGAAACCGTCTTATCGTAACTCCTTGCTTATCACATAAATGTCTCTTTTATTTATTTTCCAAGAGTTCTCTGGGATTTTCTCTGTAACGAACTATTGAAAAATTGCGAAAATTGTATAAATCAACAGGATTGCTCTTACATCTGAAAATGTCTTTCTTCATCTTTTCTTGAATAATTATTTGAAACGAAGAGAGGATTCATTGAAGGGAAGGAACGAAAGAATCGTAATCCGAAGTAAACGTTCGATCTGCTCGTAATACGAAGTCCCGTTTGAGAAAGATTTGGGAAAACAGATTGAAGTACACATCGTAAAATAAGTATATAGACACGGCTGTGTCAAAGGCACGCGAATTACTGTAATAAGAGTTCAAACTCTGGTTTCTCGAGTCAGTATGATCGTGGCGTCTGGCAAGCTTGAGCCCGTTCCGAAATACTCTTCTGTACTTTGAAATCCAATAACTCATTGCCGGATCACGCTTCGGATGTAGTGTGACAGGACATTTGTTGCGTTTAATCCGTCTCCCACTCATTTCGAAACGGCATGTTTCAGGTGACGAAATTTTGGCCCGTCGCGGTAATCAATAACATAATCGGTGACGAAATTGAGTACATATGACGGACTTTATAAAAATTTTGCAAAAGAGATCTCGTAAACGGCAGTTTCAATTAAAATTGATTCAATTAATCGCGTAAATGTGTGATCAATTCGACTAACTCGTAGAGGCAGGGAAAAAATCGCGGACTGCGAGGTTTTGGAAAAATGTTGAAATTTTGCGATTTTAACGACAACGGGGAAATGATTTGCGATATCGCGATTTCGCATCCAGATGTCTCCCGTCGTTTAACGAAACGTTTTAACAGGTTTTGCGAGATACCGACGAGAAAGAGAGAGAGATAGAGATAGAAAGAGAGAAAGAGAGAAGCGCGTCATCGCATTTATTACGGCGACATCGCGTATATCGCGGTACTAGGGTGCACCGTTCATCGCTGCGAAGCGACGGAGGTACCTTTATTCGTGGGAAGTCCGAAGTGTGAATATATTTTTGTTGGCCCGCCACGATGCCGGAAAGTCCACCAGTAGAGCCGGTTGCCACACGCTATAAATATCGCTTTTGCATCGAAAACCACCTCTGCCTGTCCCGATCTGATACGTCCCGCAGATACAGGACTTTCGCTTTCTACATTCTCCGTACGGTCGAATTTATTTATTTTTTTTTTTGCGACCACAAATAATAGAGCGTATAAAGAAGCAAATCCTTCCTTGATATATTAAAAAATATTCAAATTGAAAACAATGTACTCGAAATTTTTTTTTAATTATACGCTAATGATATTAGACATTTATGATTTTTTTTTTTGAAAAAAATGCGATATTTAAAATCTTTTGTATACGACGTTGTTTAATAAATAAATAGGATAAATGAAAGATTTATCGAGATCTCATTTTGGCGATCGAAATTTACACACTCTCGAGTAACTCTCTCATTAATCTCATCGCGGAATTTTGTTGCCAAAAAAAAAAAAGATTGCCTCCTTCGATTATTCTGTGGTAATAATTATATAGCTTGTAAGAAATTTTAGAAGCTAAGAACACGAGTGAAAATATTGATTATAAATAATTTTATTTAAAGACAAAGTCTAAGGAATTTTGAAGGTATTTTAAAAAATACATTTAAAAAGGTACATTCAAAAAGAAGGTGCACTCAGCTAAAAGATAGCAACAATATATAGGTTTATTCTTTTTGACTGAACTTTTACACCAGTTCATCTTCCTTCCTCTTCTTTCCTTTTAGAGAGAAAAGAATGAAAGATAAACTGGCGCAAAAATTTATTCTAATAAAAAAAAACAGGCCTATTTTTTCTTTTATGGATTTTAGAATTCCGACAGCCTTTCTCGTAAACGGTTGAACGTAAAATGGTTAGATCTATAAGTAAAAACAAGTTGCTTGGTTGCATTTTGAAACCCACTAAAAAAAAAAACAAAACCTTGCAGAAGGTTGTAACCTTTTAATTGATAAAAGTGTATACATTAAAAAAAAATCATCAAGAATGTGCAACAAGAAAATTAATGAAATTGTCTTAGCTATTGAAATTATCAATTGGAGTTAATTAAAGGATAATCAGCAAGAATGTACCTTTGACCTAAAAACTCGACATATCTTTATTTATTTATAAACGTATCTACTCCTATTTCTTAAAATTAGATGCTAATTCGATTACAGTCGCTACGTCTGAGATTACCGAAGAACATTCGACTTATGACGTTTTTTTTTTGGTGTCAAGAGCTTTTACGAAAGCGAACGAGTTTCAAGAGAGGTCTCCGGAGAGAGCGAGAGGAGTCGCGTGGAAAAGGCCAGAGTTAGTGCCGCCCGCGCTCGCGTCGAGCCAGTAGTGCTTAAGCGCGAATAATCCCGCGATAGTCGCGAACGAGGGACGACGTGAGAACGAGGACGATTGCGAGAGCCGCGAAAGGGTTGCCGCGCGCGAAAGTGGTGACATAAGGTCGGTGGTTGCGAGGGAAGCCCTCTCCGCGGGACGCCTCTCGGAGACGAGAAGATGCCCGCTTACACGACCGTCTATCGTTACAACATCGAGCATCATCCGAAAGAGGAGGAAGCGGCTGTTTACTGGGTACGGAAAGAGACGAGAAGTTTCATCGGTTTTGCTTAGGCTCATTAAAGGAGGAAGAATTACATCGGGCAGGGACAAAAACGCGAGATGATTCTCTTCTTTGCCCTTGAACGTGCACCTTCCTCGTGGCCAAGATGTGCTTGCGGATCTCGCGCGCGAGTGACGAGCTGCATTGTTGAAAAAGCATCACGGAGACGTTCGAAAAATACGTCAACGTAAAAGCTTCGTTCTTATTTTTTCAAAATTCTTTTTCAGAATTTTTTCTGGTCCAAACGAATATTTCTAGATTGGAGATAGCGCAAGTCACGTGCATTTTAGGGCAAAATCTGTATTCTTACGATGTCAGATTTGTTCTATCTTGATAGAGATATCTCTTGGAATTTTTCTCATTTAACGTCCAATTAATTATTTTAAGCCTTTTTTAATTGATTAAATAATTCACATTATAGGTGAAACTATATATGGGAAAATTATTTATTTAACATAATTATTTAATTAATTATACAAATAAGAAGAGTAAATATAAATTAAAAGTATATGTTCATATATAAGTAGATTTATTTATTACTTAAAAATTTTATTACGTTCTTTTAACATTAAGTGATTTTCTCTCACGATTTTCTCTTCTCATTTGAACGCAGCATTACACTTGTTAGAATATTCTCAGCTCGTTTTATAAAATTTGTTGTTTTTTTGTCTGGATGACATTTATGTATTCTTATCCACGATAAGATATGACAAAAAGCTCGAGCTTAAAAACGTCGCTGGACCACCCTAAAAATATCAAAATTCAATAGCAAGTTTTAGCTCCACCCATTGACACGTCGATATCGAATAACGATAATAAGCAATAAGATCGCCAGATGATCTAGATCTCGCGTTGTTCAACCTTGACATAGTACACAAACGTGTCCGCAGAACATTCGCAATGGAACTTGATTAATTTCGCCTATCCCGGCCCCGAGAAGGGTATGCCGATTTCGGAGTTAATCGGAGCAACCCAGATGAAAGGCAGACTTGCGCGGGCGTTAATAACATGCTATGCAATAAAACGCACGTAGGCATCGCCATTACGGATGCCGTTCATCGGTATCGCGTTCTATTTTCGTGAACGGGATCTGGGTTACTCACGAACACGCAGGAGAAGTCGTCATACAAAGACACACCCACGGTCCGCGTTTTTCAAACTCCCGTTCGAAAAATCGAGAGACTTTTCAAAAAGCAATGTTTTTAATGTGATGATTAATTAGCTTGTCAACGAGTTCCAGAATTAGTGATCATTTTTTTGAATTTTATTTCCTGAATAATATTTAAACAGAAATGTATGATTATTTTTGGATACATAAAGCGATAATTTATTCTGTACCATGATAGAAAAATTTATTTTTAATATTTATTATTTCTTTCTTGTTGGAATAGGACTGCAACAAAACGTTTAAACTTGATAAAAAAAACTGAGAAATATAAAAAAATAAGAATTAATGTGTCTTTATATATGAAATATGTTTAATTATTTTAACTATTTTAATCAATTTATTTATTCTTAGTTTGGCAATACGGTTTTCAAAATCAGAAAGCGATGTAATGAACTAATGGACGATTTTGACATTAATTATTTTTACGTCAGAAATGGAACAAATCGGAATTTACTGGTTATAAAGTTAAATCAAATATTATTTTAATTATAATTTTTTGCATCTTCCAGTATGTGTTAATGAAGTTGAAACATCTGTTCGTTAGTGTGCCTCTTGCCAACGTGCTCCAATCAGTTTCCAAAGAGTTCAAGTTTCATCTCGACGCCAAGCAATAAACACTTCGTGAAACAGCTGTTTTGCTCCGTCTGAATTTAGTTTGAAAGACCTTTTACAAAACGACGCACAAGCGTGTGCACGCTCACGCAAATTTTCTAAAAAAAGAAAAAGACCGTAGATTTACAAAACTATTATTTACAAAATTATTATATAAGATTAATTAAATTAATCAACCAAACTCGATTTTTAAATAATCGTTATATACTTCACCACTTTTAAGAGACAATCAGTGTCCCTCTCCTTCAAATATTAAACTTCATTACAAATAAAAACTTCAGCATTTCATTTTTCAAATTTAAAGGAATAAAATTAAGTAATAAATTTAATATTAAGTAATATAATTTCTCGCGTTTAATGATTTTGAATCGCTGATTAATGATTTTAGAGTCTTTAAAGTTTAAAAAGCATAGAAAAAATTTTGTGTAACATTATTGAATAGAATCGGTTTCATTCAAATTTATCTAATAAATACTTCCATCCATTTCAAGTATTGTACGTCGAGACATTTGTCATCAATGGCAAAATGGAAGTGGAATGCCCTTTGGGCTTTAGACAGTTTTGCACCCGACTTATTTCTCCCTTCTCAATCATCGTGCGACCTTGCCAACGTTCCCCGTCCAAGAATGAAACGGGCGGAACGCTTCTTGGTGAAAAAGTCACGGGCGGAAAGAAGCGTACAAGAGAGGTTCGAGGGGATAAGCGGTTTTTGTGGCTCAGGGTGCGCGTTATTTTTGCCGGCCGGAGGCCTTCATCTATTTCGAGAGAGTCACTCGTGGCTCACCCTCTAACATAATGGAACATTTCTGACCCATTTATAATGGAATCATCGTAATCGTGCGATTTCATATCGTGAAACTTGCGCGCGAACTTGCAACCACGACCGCGATTCTAAAATTGTGAAATGTTCCAACGTGCACATTGGCTGCGTTCAGCGGAAAAAGCACAGCTTTGTTTTCTCTGAAATTTTTTAATATCACTAGCCTTGCCGTTATAGTTCTTCACTAGACTTAAATGTATAAATTAATCATATTATAAATCTTACAACAGTTGTGCAAAGCTGCTTTTTCTGCTAAACGCAGCCAATACCTCTGAACAATGGATACATAATTCAATTCTACTGAAGAGCTCGAAGTTTATAAATTATACAGGAAACTTTGTATTTTTATATATATTAAAATATATTTATTATTTAATCTATTAAGCCGCAATATTTGTTAAACTTCTTTATTATTATCTTCAATTGTTCAAGTGACGATCAATTTTTAATTGGTCATATTGTAAAGATAATAATATTTTTTATAATTATACTTTTTATGTCTTATTATATTTTATATCTTCGATAAATAAGGCAGAACACAGTGTCATAAAATTATGAAGATATTATAAGACGTCATTATGACGTCACTTGATATTAAAAAAGATAAACTTATAAGTAATAAATAAAGTCATGATGATGTCTTTATGATATTATTATAGCCTTTTTTCATATTTTACTTGAAAAGCGATTGATCTAAAAAATTGTAAAAGTAAAAAACAAGAAAATTTTTATTATAAAGATACGTATTAACACGTCTGTGATATTTTTCCTTGTACTCTGAAGCTCATATAATAATTTCAAAACTGACGAAAACGTTGCTGATGAATTGTTCGTAAATCTCAAGCCGCTCTTCAAAAGCGATTAAACGTGATCTTTACTTGGAAAGTAAAATGAGAAATTGTTTTCCGAGAAAATATCATGAAAAGTTTTATTTACGACTCTCTCCAAAGGTCACGATAATAATGCCTGGCATTCCCAAATTTTCATTCTGGCTTACGACTGCTCAAGAATATCCGCGACAGAATATTACAGAGAATTTGTCTAAGATTTCACCTTGCGTTTGTTTTCACGGATGTTTGAGTAACTCGTACTGTAAACATAGAAAATCCGCGTGGCGAATCGACGATGTACGATGCACCTGCAAATTTGCATAATTTCGTAATATCGCGCAAAAACGACGGCACGTGACGGAACGACTCGTAACTTGGCAAGTCGAATTCATCCTCCACGAGAATGACCGTCTATTTGATGTAATTTTCTCATTGTGAGCCAGCTGCGCGAAATTTTTGCTTCTTTAGAGACAATCATCGTTAAATGATATCACTTCCGGTTCGTAACGTCATTAGCCAGAAATATTCGACCTATTAGAACATTATTTATACTATGAAAATATAGAAAATATATAGAATATAATGGAGTTATTTATTTGATTTATAAGAAGTGAAATATTGATTGTTTCTCTTCTTAAATGATTTAGAATAGAACAATTTGGAAATAAAAGAAGTAGGTACTCGCGAAATTCTTATCCGTCAATGTGATGTTATCTAGTCGTTAATTATTTTAAGATATCTTTTAAAGAAAAAAAGAAAAAAAATCTTTTAAAGAGGTATAAAACCGTAACTAGTAATTGATATATTTTTTATGATTCGATATTCTTTTTAACTTGCATTTCACCTCATTAATATTATGAAATGGTCATCACTGTCAAATTAAGCTGTGATATTATCATCATTATTTATTTTTGTCGTTGCTCGGAATTATGCGACGTAAGAAGCGTCAGGAATTAATGAGCCATCTTTCGATCACCATGGCCTCTATTGCGGTTTATTTTAGATCTCGTTAGTTAATTAATTGGCACCGCTTCGACAGGATATTATTTCATCTGCCCTATTAACTTGCATAGTTACCATTATTATCGTTAATGTCGGTTTATATGACAGCCAGATATTAATTCTATTATTTATTATACAATAAAATATTGCATATTAATAAATACATCAATAATTATGATATTATTATATCCATGGACGTACTTAGAAAGAGTTGGGAGGTTCAAAGAATTTTTTAAAAAATTCTTATTTATTTTTTCTTTTTTAATTATAAAAAAATACAACTTTTTTATTTTTGACTCTGAATGACCAAGTAATTTCTAAAACTTCTGAGATAAATGAGTACTTCATTTAAAACTATGCATTTCGTTTCTAATAACTGTATTTAATAACTATTTTGTCTCTATTTTCTTCAGGAAACAAAAAAAAAATTATATAGTTTACAAAGTATAATATTTATTATTATTCAAAAAACAGATATAAGAAGGAGATATTCGAAGCTTTAAAATATTTAAAAAAGAAATTTATTATTAATGCAAACAATGTTGTTCATGTGACAACAGAATTGATAACCCTTTTTCCCAAAAAAATTCTTGATACACTTATAAATAATTATATATATAAAATAGTAAAATATAATATACCGGTGCCGATGGAGTTAGAATTGCGAAATTTTTCAGCCCTACCGTACGACTCCTCTGGTCTTGCCAGGTGCCAAGGTCAAGAAGGATGCCCCTATCGGCGAATGTTACCTGCGACATCATCCGAATCCGATGATCAGGGCAGCACCCCATCATTACGAACCAGCTCATCCTGAAGTTGCTATGAAACAAAAGGTAAATCGACATTATAAAATCATCCGAATACATTCAATCCCTCCGACGTACTTGCAAATAAGTTCTTCTATTTTTTTGGAGATGCATTTGTCAAGTTAGGATTTAAATTGTATTTTATTTGCACGTCGTCTGAGCAGGTGGCAGAAACAGTACTTCAGCGTGTCGTGGGACCGAATGAAGTTCCAAAGGTTTGGATCACTTCCGTTGTTTACTTTCGTAAGCCGCTTCTGCTTCGAGAAACGCTTACGCTTTCTGGACGACCGATATATCTGCAAGAAACTTGAGTTTCGTTTGACGAGATATTCCCGCTATTATGATATTTTCCGCTAATAACTAATAATAATTATAATCGCCATGTTGACGCGATTATTACAGGATTAATACAGGATGTTCTCTGGATTCATTTGTAACTTGATAATCCGAAAAATAATACCAACGTATCGATTACACTGTAAATCGATACAGCTTGCATCAATTCCTATTTATGATTAAAGTTAATTGAATTGAATTATTTTAATAATTAAATCCAATTTAATTTGTGATATAAATTAACTTGATTACCAAAAAGTATAGGATGTGATATAAATTAACTCGATTACCAAAAATTCTTATTTTGATAACATTAATTTCCCGGTAAAAGTATTGCTGTAATTGCCACTAACGTGTTTCAAAATATGAAAATTTTGAAGGTACAAGATGTAACAAAACCGTGAATAGTAACGATTATAGTTACATTATGACATTATTTTGTAATGGAGGTGCTTTGTAGAATAATAAACATCGCGTGAGTCAAGCCCGTTTGTTAATACTGCGAATTTCTGACATAATGGAAACTTGGCATTAGTCAAATATTCGTTCTGTCCACAGTGCCAGCAGACTAGAGTTATGTATATTTTTTACAGCGCTATATTATCACAACGTAATACCGTAGTCGCAAGCGACACGACTCGAGGACAGATCGCAACAACAATACGCAACATCTTTAGTGAACATTCTCTAGTAAACATTCACATTAATAATGCGTTAATATATAGATTCTATTTTTTTATACTATACAAAAGTTTCAAAACATCCATATGCTGTGGTATAGCATTATTTTTCAAACGTTTTGTGTCTTTAAACAAAAGTTAAAATAAAAAAAAGAAAAACGAAAATAATCTCTTTTGCGCTTCTACTTACAAAACTGTCATTTTTGGTCGTGTTGTTTCAAACCACGAGAGCTATTTCTATGCGATATATACCGTAAATTCTATGTTACATCGATCGTAAACGTTAAATTGTGTCTTTCTAGATTGTCCACAAGCAATTCAACTCGCCGATCGGACTTTATTCGGATCAAAACATCGCAGACACTATCAAGTGCCAAGCATCCGCTGTACCGTAAGTAGTCATAATTTACTCACGCGAGTGTCCACTAAGTTCTCTCTTAACTATTCTTTAACCACTGAACATATTTAAGCATATACATATAACGAATCGCTAATGCTGTGATGCTTGCAGCAGTCACAGGTTAATACAATTAATACAAAATTGGCTTCATCGCTGAATGCCGCTCACACTCACGTAAATCGCCATCATATAATAAAAATCGTGTGCGAGAAAGTCTAATTGCCACGTGAATTGAAATTAACACGTTAATTCGCACGGTTGATAATCGCAGTGGAAGACAATAATGTAAAAGATAATTGGAGTGAATTCAAAGAAATTGACATAAATTTATTCTGGGAAAAAAAAAATAAATTTTTATTAATCTGTATTAATCCACTTATTTTGTATAGGCGTGTTTTTTAATCAAACGTTAATGATTTACGTCAAAATAATTTTCTGAGACTTGTTTTTAGAAAATAACGGAACGCGAATGAAAAAAATTATCCTTTTCGGAAGACGGCGTTTCCATGAAGGCTGTCATTCGGGAAAAGAAATTACCAATTGGAGAAATATAAATCGAGTTTACTCGGAGGATCACCGATCGTTAAACGAGAAGGAATATCGGCTCCTTCTCTCTTTTTTTCCTGTACGGCTCTCTCAGATCCTTCTGATGATTGATTACTTACGTAGCGGTTTGTTTGTTTTCCAGCATTTTCATAGACTTTTCCTTCCTGAAACAGAAACAGGAAATACAGGAGCAAGCGAGAATCTTGAAAGAGCAGGCGAAGACCGCCGCCTCGAAGAATGTGTGGCCGCAATTCAATAAACCAAATTAAAAATTGTCGAGAGACGTTCGAGACGTTTTCCGATGCTTCTCGTACGTCGGATCTACGACGGCAGAGTTTCCCGGTTTTCACGTGAATCATTGGGCACGTTCTCTTATTAAAACATGGAAAATTATGCATATTGTCTGTCGAAATTGTTAAATTAACAAAATTTTGCAATACAGTTTAATGAGAAAAAATTTTTTAATTTTCAACGAATACGAAAAATTGAGAAATATTGTAATTATCACAAGTCAACAGAAATATTTTGGATATTCATTCAATTGACAATTCGATTATTCGCAATGCTGTGATTAAAATCTTACAATTGAATTATTTACCTCAAAATGCAGAAAATCTTTCCGATTGCTATCAATATTTGAATTAAATCTGAGTAATTAATTTAAACGATTAGTTTAATTGTCGATAGTATTTAACACAGCGAATGTGGCCATTGAGTTTGCGAGTCCCTCGAAATGATTGTGCGATTATTATTTCGGGTTAGTTTGCCGTTCATATTACACACATAGTAGAAATCATAGACATGAATGATTTGACAAAATTGTAAATTTCGTAAGGTCTCCTTCGCGAGTCCGTGCAAAAAAAGCTTTTCCTTTAGCAGTAAATTCTTGCATGTAGCAAAGTAGTGAATAATCAATAATGTGAATATACACTTGTAGTAGTTGAGAATATGTGAGAATATTTACTAACTTCGTCGTTTCCTTAACGAGTGTTCGTATGCTTGTATCGTAGATACCGTGCACGAATAATTCGAGACGACTTTTGAAAATTGCGCCATTGCGGAAATCTATTTTTGCTGCTTCTATTTTTTTGAGATGACGAGTACCGCAGAGAATTTAATGGGAATAAAAATAATCTGAAAATTATATTTGCAAGAATATTAATTAATAATAAGGGTGTAAGTAAAAATATATTAAGAACATCTTTTATAAGACATTTTCCTCTCATTTTTTAAATTAATATATGATTTAATTTATTTATTCTCTTTTTTTTATCGATTAAGAAATTATCATCGTAGAATTAAAACAGAGTTTGTCACTTTAGTGAGAAATAAAATTACGAACACATTTTGTTTTAAATTAAAGACATTGGAAAGTGTTTTTGGAAAGTTGTTAGTGTTTTCTCAGATCTTATTTTCTTATAACAAGAGATTATTTTTGCATCTACTATTTTTCGAATATTTTTTTTCCAAAGATGAAAGGCGCAATTTTTGAAGTGTCCGACGAACGCGTTCTTCTTGATCGGGCATGCACGCAGGGTTTGCACGATGAGGAATGACCGCTCTTTCTCAATTGAACTCGGCTGAAGGACGCGTCTGAAAGTCGCTCTCGAACAGACTAAAGCAAACATAAGTAAATGTGCAAGCGCAAATTGGCAAATTGTAACCCCGGCCGCTGCTAACCGATCTGGATAGAAAATACAAAACAAAAAGAAAAGAAAAAGATAAAAGTCACACATGAGAGAGAACAAAAGAGAAATTAAAAAGTCGTCCCCTGTGTACACATGCGGTACGTGCAGCCTGAAGAAACCGGTCAAGTACGATCCCAGCAAGAGCGAGGCGTACAAGGCTCTGCAAGAGGAGGAATACGGGGATCAGGTACAGGAAGTCAGACAGCCGGCTCGCACCGGTGTCTTCACGCCGCAGAAATCGAGCAGGGTGCGTAAATTTTTTCTTCTCGGCAATTCCACGCACAATTTTTTCGTCTTGAATCGATAAATTCTCTTTTCATTGGTAAAAAAATGTTTCATATCTAATAATATTTTTAAGAATTTTGTTTATTTTAAATTTGTGAAGATTTGAAAACTACCTTCAGATTTCGTCTTTGAAAATTATATAATGAAAAATTTTAGAATTCACATACATATATGCAGAATTCTAGAAAAATGTAGACTTCCTCAGTATTTCTGAAAAATGTTCCAATTTATATAACATAAAAACTCAGAAATTTTGTAAAAAGTTATAAAATACGCAGAAATTCTGAAAAAAATCTGAAATTTATATAGAAGTTATGAAAAATTATATGAAGAATTTGAGGAAAAATTTAAGAGACTTGCGTTCAACGATACTATTTGTTGTACAGATGTACCAGGCTCCGCCGAAGAGTCCCGCATATGTAAGTATCCGCATTATTCTCGATCAGATTCACGATCGATTTTGCGGGACGCACAGTAGAAAATATTTTGCCGGGCTGAGATCACGCGGAAATGCATTTCTCACTCGCATGTCGCCGCATGGGTTCTGTGCAAGAATTTCAGAGCTGTCGCCGCAGCTGCGTAGACTACTATATTCTCGACGCGAATTTGAGAATCTTTACATCTCGCGCAAAATCGGTCGGCCGCGTTGCTCAGATCTGTAGAGAAGCGTCGAATTGTTAAAAAAAATTTTCAACGATTTTAATAAGGAAAATATTTTGAGAATATTTCTTTCGTCGTTAAAATAGCAGGCAATCATTTTTCACGTTATTCAATTACCGGGTCACTTGCTACTTCGCCATGTATTTATCGAAAAGATTTATCGATCACTGGCTCGGCACTACGTACTCTTATAAGTTACCCAACGCAGCCGGACGATAAAACGGCATCGAGTTATATAAGCGACTTGGCACGAGACGCTATTTCTTCTGTACTTCTTTCTTTTTCGTCTACTGAAACACCGTGCCAAGTCATCTCTCGGTAATAATCGCTCGCCGCGTCTCACCGAATATTGCGCGGAGGATTTGACACTTCCTCCTTTAAGGATGTATTATACGCATTTTTTAACAGAACAAAATTACATTTTTCTATATCGCGTTTGAGAACGATATAAAACGTTTAGAGACGATTTAAAGAAACTGGATAACAAAAATTATTTTAATAAGTAGACATATCTTTAAAAAATAAAGATAAAATGAGAAAATTTTCATTTAAACTAAAAAATTGCTAAATATTGACCTTATTCAACTGTATGTATATAACATTCATTTTTAAGTCTATACAGAAAGTATAAATACTATTTACAAATTTTCGATTTGTCATTTTTTGTAGAGATTATACATTTAATACATCCTTAAATTTTTCAAGACATTTCTCGTCGAATCGTTCTGATTGTTTAACGATATTACCTCGTGTTAATACATTTAACATACATTATCGTCACTAACGTCATAGTCAAAGACGCCACCGATCTAATCTTCGGCATCTGTTTCGTTAAGGGTGGATCATATAGACGTCCTTTTCCTCTCCCTTTCGTTAAGGATCTTATCAACGACTATTAAAATTTCCGCAGAAACTTGTACGTGCATTTTCTGATACTTTTACATTAAATGCTCGCCTGCTTCTGCGTAGAAAAATTAATTCATAGGATAAATGCGCTCTCACTGCAATACTATATTCGTTTTCTACATACTGCGCATTAATTCACTACGAATATATGCATGCCGCTTTGCGAGATAGAAAATACGCCTTACAAATTAAAACGTAGCTCATTTGTGGAGCACACCTTTATAATTTGGAGACATGGAGAGCGGTTGCGAATAATTCAATTTTCAGATAAACGTGCTCGATGATGACGGCGAGAAGATCCATCAGAGCAACAGCTTCAAGAGGATTATGTACAGTGTGCTGGGGCAGACCGAATTTTAAGCCGAACTGACGCTATAAATATATTACATCGTTTATTTATATTATAAATAAATCTATATATTTTATTTATTGTACTACGCAAAATAAAACGAGTGTCAAGCGTGTCCAGTTTAGGCAATTAAATTACATTATTGCACCAGCGAAGATCTAGAAGCGCGAACTTGACAGAATTCTAGATGTGTTCTTTTTCCATCCCAAGTTCTGAACTGCTGTACACTGATGCAATAAATTAAATTGAGACAGGTACAGTTTGTTTCACTCTAACTTATTGCACTAGTTCAGAATTCTTCGGAAAAGAACAGACCTTCTATTCATTGCTTACCCGATGAAATGCAGTGCCGTGTATCTCTTAAGCGTAATAATAGTTATTTTAATACGCGCCGTTAGTAGTACGTGGCTTGCAATATTGCATTCTACTTGAGATTAATACTTTTCGCTGGCCTGCATCAAAATAGCTTACTCCTTTCTTTCCACATATTTCGATGTATCTATTTTTTGACACTCTATTTACACACTATATTATACTTTTAACATCACGCACAATGAAAAATTAATTTTCACAAAATATGTCGAGTTTTTTAATACTCCTTTCCTCTCTAATATTTCAATTTATGGAATCAATTTTTCTTTTCGTGATTTGATACTTGTTATAAGATAGGTATCAATATATCGCATTTCTTAACGCTCTGAAAAAAATCTACGCAATACGAGCTACGTTTTCTTTCTATTATTTTTCAAGGAACTATTTCGAAGGGGGCAAGATTGATCACGACACGTGGACACGATGAGACAATTTAATTCAATCAGCAATAATACGCTACAATATCGGGTGTAATATCAATGGTGTTTGCTAAATAAAATTTTTAAATGTCAGACATTATTTGTTTGACAGAAAATTTGTTTTAAGCACATACGTGTTCCGTGTATTATTGTTACAATTACGCATATATGACGGATACAACAGATAGGAACAAGTAGAACGATAAGTGTCTTTTGTTTGAACTAACAATAATATCGTGCTAGATCAATAGAGATATCACATAACTATCATTTTGTAAGGTATCAAGTAAAATAACAAGATCGCTTTCTTGTCTGCTTTCTGACAATACAAAACGAATATTATAAGGCTCTCTTTTAATCAGCGCAAAGATCGTGCAGCCATAGCGTCTCAAAATTCTTCGTGCGTTCCATTTTTCAAACGATCCAGATAGAAGAATATTAAATATTACGCACTTTCGTTACGCTATACATGTGGCCACGCGAGCTACGGCTTTTTTTCGGCTAAATTATTATTATTAAAATTAATTCCTAAACGCTATTAGATATTACTAATTTGTCTTCCACTCTCAACATTTTTTACTGAGAGCTGCATCCGTCGACACTGTCCATGGGGTAGCACCAGAGCCTCGGTCGCGACACGCATTCAAATTTAAACCAAGATAAAAAATCCGAGTTCGATGTGCTTCTATTACTAGCACTTGTACCATGTCAATACAACCGAAGCCAAGCAGAGATACACATATCTCGAAGGATTAGTGCTACGTCACACTTCTTTTGCGTCGAGAACGCACTGCTTAATCCGCCAATCATTTAATTTTTTATAAAAATACAGCGACGATAAAAAGTTAAAGTGATTGGCAACAGTCTCATGGCGCATAAATAAATTACTAGAGAAAAAAAATTGGCCATTATGCACATAGCCTTTTGCCATAGACAGTCTCTTCGGTCCGAAGTATACTACAGGACTATACGTTACTACACGTTAAAATGTACGCGCTGCGTAACATTGCATAAATTAATAATACTTTCCCTTTCTGTAAAATCTTATCGACTTCACAAAATTAATTTAGAATTAAAGTAAACAGGCTGAAGTACAGAGCACTGAACGCACAAATGTTTCACGTTTACGTAGATCAATGGACTAGCAAGTTTCTCTTTTGTTTATTTAAATATATATATATATCTATGAAATGATATATATCTAAATTTCCAACAAACCCAATCACACGCATTAAGCATATCATTCAGACTTATATGTGAAAACGCGCAGATTCCAGAAAAAAATGCATAAAAATCACATTCAAACGTATGTAAAAAGAATCAAATACACATATAAATGAGTAATTGATTGAGAGACAGCAGCTAAAAGCTAATATAAATTAATAATCAATATTCAAGTATATTAATTGAAAGCTGTCACAGTTA